AGTTTTGGGTCCGAAAAATAGGTTAAAAATTGGGCTGTTATTTAAATACCCTAAAATTATTAAAATATTTTTAAAAAATGCTTAATAAATAAAGTAAAATATTATTTATACACTGAAATATTTAAAATAATAACTTTATATTATAAAAATACAAAAAATGTTATTTTGACAGCAATAATATAAAATGAAGTGCCTTTATGTATGAATATAGGCCATTATTGCAAAATTAGATAAATAGCTTAAAAATACTAATGTAATTATATAAAATAAGATAAAATATTTGAAACTTGTATTATAGGTGAGAAATAATAATTTTAAGTAGCTAAGTCATCACAAAATAATTTAAAGGGATAATTACTAAATATTTATATAATTTAAATGCAGGAAAATTAATTTAAAGCTCTAAAAATTATGGAAAATGCTTATGTAGGTTTTTAAACCAAATAATGATGCAAAAATGCTATTTTGAAAGAATATATATATTTTGAAAAATATGAAGGCAAAATTGGGTATCAACAATACTTTCAGTACAGGTGATGTTCATTAGTAATAGTATCTCTTGAGATGTGCCACATTCCAGTTGCTTGAAAACTTTTCCCCATCTTGACTCTCCAACTCGTATGATCCTTTCATGGTGACAACTGAGACCCGGTAGAGGCCTTCCCATGTTGGACCTAGCTTCCCTGCATTGAGTTCATGTGTGTTTTGAGTTACTTTCCTTAAAACCAAGTCTCCCACTTTGAAATAACGGAGGTTAGCTCTTCGATTGTAATATCTTTCTATTCTCTGATTTTGAGCAGCCATCCTTATATGCACCAAGTACCTACATTCATCGAGCATCTCAAAATTGACCAACATTGCTTTGTTGTTTGCTTTTTTATTTGCCTGGAAGCATCTCCATGTAGGTTCCCCTACTTCCACCGGGATCAGGGCTTCTTCTCTGTACACAAGGCAGAAAGGAGACTCTCATATGCTTGATTTGACCGTCGTTCAGTACACCCATAGTACTCCAGGCAATTCCTCGGGCCATTTGCCTTTAGTTGCCTCCAATCTCTTTTTGAGATTTTGTATAATCAGTTTGTTGGTTGATTCCACTTGACCATTTGTGCTTGAATGATAGGGCGAAGATGTGATCCTTTTGACTTTCAAGTCTTCAAGGAACTTCATGACCTTTGAGCCTATAAATTATGGCCTGTTGTCGCAGGCTATGTCTTTTGGTATCCCAAATCTACAAATTATATTCTCCCACAAGAAATCTACCACTTCACGTTCACCGATCTTCTGATAAGTACTTGCTTCAACCCACTTAGAAAAATAGTTAGTTAAAATCAAAAGAAACCTTACCTTACCAGGGGCCGGCAGTAGTGGTCCGACGATATCCATTCCCAAACTTCATGAATGGTCATGGAGACAAAACTGAATGCAATGGTTCTGCTGGTTGATGTACCAATGGTGCGTAGCGTGACACTTATCGCATTTTTGACTAAAATCCTTGGCGTCTTGTTCCATTCGGGACCAATAGTAGCCTGCCCTAACTAATTTTAGAATTAAGGAATCTGCGCTCGAATTATTTTCACAGATCCCTTTGTGGACTTCTCGCATAACATAAATAGCTTCGGAGGCTCCCAAGCATTGGGCCAGCGGGCCTTGGAAATATTTCCTGTACAATTGGCCTCCTTTGAAGCTATATCTGGTTGCTTTAGTGCACAGCGCTCGGGATGCCTTAGAATCTTCAGGAACCTTTCCGTGCTCGAGATAATCAATGATTTCATTTCTCCAGTCCCAGACCAAATTAGTCATTTTTATCTTGTAGTAGCTATCTGTGCCTAGAACCGAGTGCATAAGCTGACCATACCGGAGTCTGATCCCTTTATTTCCGTTGATAAACCAAGGTTAGTGTCACGACCCAAAATCTCACATGTCGTGATGGCGCCTATCTCGATACTAGGCAAGCGGATAACCTCAATAAATCACAATAATCTTTTAAGTTTGAAAACAAAATACTTAGATTTAGTAGAAAGTCTCACAAATACTAATACAAATGCACTCCCAAAACAGGTGTCACTGAGTACATGAGCATCTAATAATAATAAAGTCTGACTGATAAAAACACTGTCTAAAAATATAGAATAATACAAATCACGGATAGGAAAGAGAGTCAAGGTCTGCGGACGCCAAGCAGCTACCTCGATAATCTCCAACAGATAGATCTCTGAAATCTAGCAGTCGCGGTTTCCGGAAGTACCTTGATCTGCACAAGAGGTGCAGGGTGTAGTATGAGTACAACCAACTCAATAAGTAACAAGACTAACCTCTGGTCTGAAAGTAGTGACGAGCTCAACAGGTACAGTCCAATATAAAATAACAGTAGGGAAATGTAGGCATGCTTTCAAGTTCAATTGTTTAACTCGGTACAAGTAAAATGCATCAATCCTGAATGATATGAGGAACTCTATATCTACATGCCAATGTACATGTTGTATGTGATGCACCTCAGTAGAAATCTCGTGCACTCACACCTTTGGATTACCTAATCACTCAGTACTGTGTATGGCCAATCCAGCCCAGGGAAGATTCATCCCATATATGTATACATTAACTGACAGTCAGTCCGTCAGTACTGTGTAAGGCCAATCCAGCCCAGGGATGATCCATCCCCAAATATAAATGATTTGGACAAGATCCATGTCTAGGGAAGGTCCATCCCTCAATATAAAATGCTTCGGGCAAGATCCATGTCCAGGAAAGATCCATCTTTCAATATAAAATGCTTCGGGCAAGATCCATTAGGGAAGATCCATCTTTCAATATAAAATTCTTCAGGCAAGATCCATGTCCAGGGAAGGTCCATCCCTCAATATAAAATTCTTCGGGCAAGATCCTTGCCCAGGGAAAATCCATCTCTCGCGCTCACTATGTGGGGTGCAGACTCCGGAGGGGCTCCTTCAGCCCAAGCGCTATAATAGCCAGATCCAAGCATAAATAAATAAAACATGCTGCGGCGTGCAGCCCGATCTCATAAATATCACTCAAAATCTCCAGTCTCTCGGGCTTACAATGACATGAAAATCGACCCGACATAATGATATGATGTATCAACGAATGGCAACAGAGACTGAGATATGATATAAAATGATAGAAGTGACTAAATACACAATTTGGAATTTTTTAACCAAATAATTCAGCAGTAATTCGACCTCTATGGGTCCCAAAAATATTGGCACGTAGCCTAAACATGATCTTTAATACGAGCCTCATCTCAATTTCTTTAAAACATGGAGGATATACGGATGATACATGATTCTTTAATTATATAACTCCATAGAATTTATTTAAGTCACAATATGGTGCACGCCCACACGCCCATCACCTAGCATGTATGTCACCTCCAACAAATCATATAACACATAATTTAGGGATTCATACCCTCAGAACCAAGTTTAGAAGTGTTACTTACCTCAAACCACGTAATTCTTTACTCCAATATGCCTTTGCCTCGCGAATCGGCCTCCGAACGCCACGAATCTAGCCACAATTAATTCAATTCAGTCAATACAATTATAGGAATTAATTCCATATGAAAATACTAATTTTTCCACAAAATCCGAAATTTAACTCAGAAATCGCCTATGGGGTCCATGTCTCGGAACCCGGCAAAAGTTACGGAATATGAATGCCCATCCAATCACGTGTCCAACCATATCAATTTTACCAAATTCCGACATCAACTCGACCCTCAAATCTTCAAATTAACCCAAGAGGGTTTTCACAATTTTCCAACTTAAATCATAGATTTAATGCTAAAAATAGCAATAGATTCGGGTAATTTGACCAAAATTGAGTTAAGAACACTTACCCCGTTGTTTTCCTTAAAAATCATCCGAAAATCGCCTCTCCCCGAGCTCCAAATTGGTAAAAAATGGAAAATGGGACATATCTTAAACATTCTGTCCAGACCTTTCTTTTTCGTGAACGCGATCAGTGCCTCGCATTCGCGAAGCACAAAATTGTGTTGTCCAAACATTGCCCTTCCTTCACGAATGCGAAGGAAACCTCGTGAACACGATGCCTTTCCTAGCTTGGCCTTCGCGAACGCGGTCACCCCTTTGCGAACGCGAAGCTTTACTGCCCAGACCCCGCCTGACCTCGCCCTTCTATGCGAATGCGAACGCGAACACTACCATCAACCCTTCGTGAACGCGGTCCTCGCATCGCGAACACGAAGAACAACTTGCCTGCCTCCAGTTTCCACTTTGCGAATGCGAGACCCCTCCCGCGAACGCGAAGAAGCAAATCAGACAGTGCATCAGAAAATTTCCAGCAAGGTTCCAAGTCCAAAATTCAATCTGTTAGCCATCCGAAACTCGCCCGATGGCCCTCGGGACCTCAACCAAATATACCAACAAGTCCTAAAACATACTACGTACTTAGTCGAAACCTCAAATCACATCAAACAACGCTAAAACCATGAATCATCCTCCAATTAAAACTTAATAAAAATTAACGAATTCCAACTTCTACATTCGATATCGAAACCTATCAAATCAATTTCAATTGGCCTCAAATTTTGCACACAAGTCATAAATGATATAACAGAGCTATGAAAATTTTCAGAACTGGATTCCGACCCCGATATCAAAAATTCAACTCCCCGATCAAACTTCCAAACTTAAATTTCTATTTTAGCCATTTCAAGCCTAATTTAGCTACGGACCTCAAAATAAATTTCCGGACACGCTCCTAAGTCCATAATTACCATACGGAGCTACTGGATTCACCAAAGTTCTATTCCGGGGTCGTTTACACATAAGTCAACATCCGGTCAATATTTTCAACTTAAGTTTTCATCTTGGAGACTAAGTGTCTTAATTATTTTCAAAACCTCACCGGACCCGAACCAATTACCCCGGCAAGTCACATAACAATTGTAAAACATAAATTTAGTAGTAAATGGGGAAACATGGTTGTATTATTCAAAATGACCGGCCGGGTCGTTAAAGTTAGCTAATGCGTCTTCTTCTGCATTTTCTTCTTGGGATACGCGTAATTGACCACTCCGGGAATCGAGAAAGCCGAGCTTGAAATTTCACTGCGTATTGCTTCATGGGTTTCTCTTTGGCTTCGAAGATCCCATATACCTGATTTACAACCAGCTGGTAATTGCATTTGATTTCTATGACCTCGGAATCTAGTCCCCGGGTCAATTCGAGTCCTACAATCAATGTTTCATACTCCCCTTCATTGTTAGTCAGAGGAACTATTCTTATGGCATGCCGTAGGGTTTCTCTCAAAGACATGTTTAATACTACGCCGAGATCGGACCCTTTTACATTGGAAGCTCCATCCGTAAATAGGGTCCAAACTCCTGATGTCGATTTTGACACCATTACTGCTTCTTTAGTTGCCAGAGGTAGTAATCCCGGGCTGAAATCGACCACAAAGTTGACCAAAACTTGTAACTTAATCGCAGTCTTAGGTTTATATTCTATGTCAAATTCACTCATTTCGACGGCCCATTTGGCCAACCTACCCGAAATTTCGGGGTTTATGAAGGATATTCCGCAAGGGAAAGGTGGTCACCACAGGGTGACATTGTAAATAAGGCCTTAGCTTTTGAGCAGCGACTACGAGGGATAAGGCCAGCTTCTCCAAATGTGGTTAGTGAGTTTTTGCTCCCGTTAAAATTCTACTAATGTAATAAATGGAAGATTGTGTACATTCGTCCTCATGGACTAAAACAGCGCTTACCGCTACCTCCGAGACCGCTAAGTAGATTAATAAGTTTTCGCCTTCCTCCGGCTTTGACAATAATGGAGGACTTGATAAGTACCTTTTCAAATCCCTCAAAGCCTGTTGACATTCCGCCTTCTCAAAGCGGTCGATCTCCCCATGAGCCTTTGAACCTCTTTTATGCTTGGCAGCTGGTCCGTAATGTCTTCGATGGCTTTATTTTATCGGGGTTAACCTCAATTCCCCTTTGTGATACCAGGAATCCCAGGAACTTACCAGAGCTGACTCTGAACGCACACTTCTCGGGGTTAAGCTTCATGTTATGCTTCCTTAGGATGTCAAAGGTTTCTTGCAAGTGTTTAAGATGATCACATGCATTCAAAGACTTAACAAGCATGCCGTCTATATAGACCTCCATTGTCTTCCCTATTTATTTTTCAAACATTTTGCTTACGAGCTGCTGGTAAGTGGCTCCGGCGTTCTTTAGCCCGAAGGGCATCACATTATCGCAATATGTGCCGAAGTTCGTTATGAACGAAGTTTATTCCTGATCCTCCGGGTTTATCTTAAATTTGTTGTGCCCGGAGTAAGCATCAAGGAAACTCATTAACTCATGCCCGACCATTGCATCGATCATTTGATCAATGTTTGGCAATGAGAACGAGTCCTTAGGGCACGCCCTATTCAAATCCTTATAATCTACGCACATGCAAAATTTGTTATTTTTCTTTGGAACTACTACTACATTAGTTAGCCAGTCTGGATACTTTACCTCTCAGATTGAACCGATATCAAGTAGGCGCATTACCTCTTCTTTGACGAATTTATTTCTAGCCTCGGCATGCGGATGTTTTTTCTGTCTTACCAAAGAAATGTTGGGATCAAAACTTAGCTTGTGTACGGCCACTTTCGGCGGGATACTTATCATATACGCATGCGACCACGTAAAAATTGACGTTAAATTTAAGAAACTCAATAAATCCAGACCTTAGTTTGGGATGTAGTCCTGTCCCCAAGTGGAATTTCCTTTTTAAGAATTTCTCGAATAATGTGACTTGCTCAAGCTCTTCTACTGTGGATTTTGTTGCGTCCATCTCTATTGGTACCTAGAAAAACATTGGCACTTGGTGAGATTCCAGCGACTCTTCCGTCTGGTTGACCTTGCTTGGCTCGGGAGCAGGCACCGGTTCCTTTAATTGCTATGCCGCATGCTATTTCCCTTTGCTACTGGAGAATGAAATTGCATTCATCTCCTTTGCCGCCGGTTGGTCACCTCTTATTTGTTTAATCCCCTTGAGATTTGGGAATTTCAGCAACTGGTGATATGTCGATGGCACAACTATCATCTCGGGCAACCATGGTCTTCCCAGGATAATGTTGTAGCCCATATCACTATCCACCACCTCTAAAAGGGTCGTCTTCATCACCCCTTCGACATTCATGGGTAGCGGGATCTCTCCTCGGGTTGTCACGCTTGCAAGGTTGAACCGGGCGAGGAGTTTTGTGGTAGGAATGGTTCCCGGTAAGTTTGGCTTGCTCCAGTACCCTCCATTGTATAATATTGGCGAAACTCCCTGGATCCACCAGAACACGTTTGATTTCAAAATCTAATACATTTAAAGAAATTACAAACGCGTCGTTGTACGGTAGCAACAATCCATCTGTGTCTTCCTCTGTTAAAGTGATGTCGTCTTCAGCGACTTCCCGGAGTCTCTTGCTGTGGGTTAGTGATACCTTTGTCTTTTTTGCCGCCGAGAAGGTAACCCTGTTAAAATATGTTGATTGTCAGACGCGGGGGGTCTTCTCCTGCTTTTGAGGGCTCTTTGTTGTCACGATTGTGACCGTAATTGTTTTTAACCCGATCACTTAAGAATTCTCTGAGATGGCAATTTTTTAGTAGTGTCGCAACCTCTTCGCGTAGATGCCGACAGTCCCCAATCTGGTGACCGTTCATCCCGTGGTATTCAACCCACAAATTAGGATCCCTCTGGCTGGGATCGCATCTCATCGGTTTTGGGAACCGTACTTCTTTAATGTTCCTCATAGCTGATACCAACTCTACTACACTGACATTGAAGTTGTATTCTAAAACTTTGAGGTAGGAAGGATCTCGAGAACCTAACGTTTTCTTGTCTGTAATGACCTGTTATTCCAGCCGCGATCAGTTCTTCTATCAGTAACAAACCTGTATGCCGCATGGGAGCCTCTGTCGCGTCCTTCGGCCCGTTCATAGGGGAAAAACCGACTCCTCGAAGACTGTCTATCTGTGTCAAAATCGTCTTTCGATTTCTCTTTATTCTTCTCCCGACCTTTAACCTACGCCAGGAAACCGAACTAATCATCCTCGATCCTTATCTTTGACTCGTACCAGTTGTGAACATCCGCCAAGTTGTCTCTTGGAACTCGAGCAAGCTTTCTTTCAACTTCAAGGAAGCGTCGGAACTTCTCGGATTCAAACCTCGGTGAATGCTTCAGCCGTCCATTCATCCGGAATGGCGGAGAGCAACATCTTTTCCTTCTGGAAATGTGTCACAAATTCCTGCAGCAACTAAGACTCACCTCGTGCAATCTTGAATATATCGGTCTTTCGAGCCTGCACCTTTCTGGCCCCGGCATGAGCCTTAATAAAAGAATCTGCGAGCATCTCGTATGAGTCTATGGAATTCTCGGGCAAAAGCGAATACCATGTCAAGGCTCCCTTCGTGAGAGTCTCTCCGAATTTCTTCAGCAAAACAGACTCGATCTAGTAGGGAGCTAAATCGTTCCCCTTCACCGCCGTTGTATAGGTGGTGATATGCTCCTGAGGATCATAAGTTCCATCATATTTTGGCATGTCTGGCATTTTAAATTGCTTCGGGATCAATTCTGGTGCCGCGCTTGGTTTTTGTGGCAACTGAGTGTACTTCTTTGAGTCTGGCCCTTTCAGCACTGGTGGTGCGGCTGGGATTTGGTCCATGCGGGCATTCACTTCCCTCATAAACCGTAAGAGTTCGTTTTTGAAGGGGTCGCTCTCGTTGTTGTGACCGAAACCGTTTCCCCCCGGCCCCATCGAAGCCGACCTCGCTCCTTGGGGTGTTGTTGCGAACCCTTTGCGTTGTTTGATTTGCAGGAGCATCGGGAGGAACTGGACCTCGTCCATTCGCATTATTGGAAGCACTCGATAACGCCTGCTTCAATTCCGTCATAATCTTATCCTACCATGTGAGATGACCTAAGATGGCCTCCTATTGCTCCTGCAACACCCTTATCACTTTAACGATGTGTTCTTCTTCAGTATCAACAAGAGTCGCCTCTCGAACATGTCGCGGGTACCGCCTGTCATGGACCTGAGTGGCCTCCCCTTACTGTGGGTATCACTGATTGAATCCTCGTGTCGAGGCTGATTTCCTTGAGCCTCAAGGTTGTGTGTGTTGTTAACACGATTATCTGCTATTTTCTATAATTTTTTGCTAAAAACAACTAATCAAACACGTTAGTAAAAGAATCAAGGACCAACTTAACTACACAATTGTTTAAGCCCCACGATGGGCGCCAAACTGTTTACCTGTAAAACGGTACAGTTGAATTTATACGTGGTTTTAGACAAGTGAATTAATCTGATCCTAAAATAATATATGAATTAGATAAAAAATATGATACTTAGCCTTGAGATAGAGATAAAATGGCAGAAACGGTATTTCTGGGAGCAGAGCTTCCGGGCACAATAGCAACGATATTAGTAATCAAGAAGATAAAATTATATTGAGCTTTGAACAGAGTATAGCATATGTTTGCCAGAAAATTCGTGTCCTTTACAATGATAATAGAGCTAACTATTTATAGCTGCACTTAGGGAACAAGGTCTTAGGATCAAGTCCCTCTTTAATGTCAGTTATGAGGGCCACTGAAGAATATATAATGGCTAGTAGTGAATGCCATATTCCTTGTAACGGGTCATGTATTTAATGCTATAGAATATTCCTAATTAAATGCTACCGGATGGGAGGCACCATATTCCTTGTAACGGGTCATGTATTTACATTAATGCTATAGAATATTCCTAATTAAATGCTACCGGATGGGAGGCATTTATTTCATCTTTGTGAATATAAGTCTTTCCGGTATTAGACAGGATTGTTGCCTGCGGATTTAACTGTCTTTTGTCTTTGACTCCACGTGTCACTTCCTTATGCAATCATTTAATATAAACATATTTTACCCTATACAATCTTTGGCTCCACGTGTCACTTCCTTATGCAATCATTTAATATAAACATATTTTACCCTATACAATATGCAGTCTTACCCTGTATTTATGCAAGAGCCTGTTTCCACGGCTTGAACCCGTGACCTCCTAGTAACATGGCAACAACTTTACCAGTTACGCCAAGGCTCCCCTTCATGTTATCAATTTTGTATCCAAAGGTATGCAGTTTTCCCAGAAAATAACTCTCACGAACTACAATTTTCCTCCGTATCAGCGAATTTAGTAAAATTCGGGAAACAGAAAAATCTAAAACTAAAATTCAGTTTCTTTAAATAAATAATAAACGTACTAAATTAACTTTCAAATTCAGAATCTAACTTGCTCCGGCTCTGGCCAGCTCCAGTATAATTTTAAGTAAATTGCAAGCTAAATTAGTAGTGACGACGTCTATTACCTTGTCCATCAACTTCCTTATCCAAAAAAGAGAAGATTGTCCATCAACTTGTACTCCCTATCACTACGAAGCTTCTGGGAAACTGCTTTTTGATCTACGATTTATACGCTGTTGTGTTGATGTCCTTTTATTGATATGTCAACTTACAAAATATTTTTATCAGCAACCTGATTCATGCCCGCTACAACCATTAGTCAACTTTCAAACAATAATAATGACAATTAATACTATTCTCTATATTATAATAATTAACGTGTATATAAATGAGATTTTTCTTTGGTTTTTGTATTTTTTTTAGTTTGGCCTTGATAGAAAAATATTTTTTATATCTCAAAAAGAAATATTCTAAAACTATTACTGAATTTATTTTCTTACTATTATATTAATGGGTCTTTAGTATAATAGTTATTTAAAATATATTTGTAACAAAAATTAGTTTAATGTTGAATTTAATTTGGGAGAAATAATCTGACCACAACGTTTCAATGTTTAAGAGCCTTAATGGCATTAATTCTTGAATAGTTATGCCAACACTTAAAATAACGGTTTTGTATTCAATTTGTTATATAACATTTGAAAAGTTTTCAAAACCTTTAATTTCTTTGTTTTGAAATCTTGGTCAGTTAGTAACAGC